TCTGTCCACACTGTCAATCAGTAGAGTAAGTTTTGCAGCTATTGCTGTCTGCATATCATAATCTGTCTTAACCTTGAAGACCTCTACCAGTTGACTCCTTATTGTTTTACAGCTCTACCTGAAAAGAATGCAAACCCAAATCAAACTTCATAACTGTAACCCCTCATTCAAACCATCAAGTAAATTTTAGTAGTGCACCATCCATTGCTTTTATATTCCTCATATAATGGGTACCTAAACCACAACAATAAGATAACTATGTTCTAAACAACATTTTGTGCAAGCCCGTTTTATCCCCTTTGTCCCTCTGCTGAGTCAGTCCATTTAAGATTTTAACTTTTAAGATTTATTTTGTTTTTCAATTCTTTTAAAAAATGCTTTCTACAGCAAATCACAACTGCCCATTCTGCTGGTCGAGTCTATACCCTCCTACAAAATTCACAATCCTTATGTTCCAAATGACCAAAATTGGACCCAGCAGCAACTGTAATTATTGTTCCTTCTCTAACCAAATGCAGGAAATTTGCATATGTAGTAAATATGAAATGGAATGCCACTCATCCCAGATGTCTAGTCAAGCACACTTCATTTTTCCCTTATCCTTTGTATTCTGTCCTCATTCTTCGCCTCTGTTCCATCCACTTCTCTATTTATGTGACCACATTATCCTGATTTCAGTCACCGTTATCTTTGCCATCTGTCTCTTGTGTTGGACCATATCAAGTGCTTTATGAAATGTCTTAGCCGCTGCATATTCAGTTGTTTCTTCAAAGAATTCCATGTAGGCCAAGCCTAGTTGTCCTCTGTAAACCAGATCCACTGACCCTGATTCATGATTCATTACTTTGTCCCAAGCATTTAATCATTCCAACTAATATTATGGATTTCAATAGTTTGCTAACAATTGAGGACTAATTTACCTTTTACATGTTGTTTATTTGCTTTTCTTCAAAAATAAGATTATATTTGTCACTCTCAAGTCCCCTGGCATATTGTTTCCCGTGTAACTTTGGAAGGTTATAGTCAGAAATAGGTTTATTTTATTTCAGTACTGTTTTCATGCACAGACACAATGTTCTTTTCCTCGATTTCGCAGTATTATGTACATTTTTCTGGAATATATAATGTTATAATTTCTGTATTTGACATGCTAGGTGATATTTTGGATATCATTGCATGTGTACATATGTGTCTGTATTAAGTTGTGCTTGTCTGCAAATAATTCTGTCACATTGGTTTCTGATTGGCTTACAATTTCAATATTTATAAAACAGCAACAAATCAAAACTTGGAACAGATAGGGGAAAAAGAAGCAAGAATGGAAACATTAAACTTGAATTTCAAGGATGGACAATTAACAAAATATGTCAGAATACTGAAAAGAAAGAACAAACTCATCAAATTGATCCACTTCTTTTGAAAACCCTTTCAACTATCTTAGATTCAGCACAAGGTGTAGACTCTCCTAGTAGGTGGTAGGGTGGAAAAATAACAATGATAGGTTAACAGAGGAAAGTAGTTATTCCTGTTTACACAAGAATACTTTCTACATTAAGAATGTATGTGACAATTTATTCTGATGGAATCTTGTATGAAATCTCATCTGACAGCACGTTGCCTGTTCTTAAAACATTGTCCTTCGAGTGCAGAAAC